AAAGGTAACCTCATCGGAAATAAAAACCGTCTTAGTTCAGTACCTATGACAATGTATTTTCTTATTGTAAATTATCACCAATTGTCCTAAAAAATATCAAGAAAGGCTTCTGCCCTTGGATGAATTTTAAACATACAGACTGGCTGCCGAGAAATTGCTGGTGTCATCAATCCTTCTAAATATATTCTCTCCCTCTCTCTCACACATACACACTCACACACCCTTTTGTCAACTGAGCAATGTCTTCTGAAGCCAAATGCCAAGTGTACTAAGATAAAGGTATTGCAGTCCCTGAAGGAGGGGCATTTCAATTACAAAGAAAAGCAAAATATGCCTGAATCTTTACTTCAGAACAAATGCTGACAAAATGAGGAATGTCACTAAGGATTTTCTTTCTTCACAAGATGGTCACTTTCTGTGAGTGACTTACCTGTGTTTCCGTGTGAGGGTTTCCCAAATCTTTTGTGTAGTTAGCGTCTTCCTGCAGTCTGTCCTCTGCACACACTAGCAAGATTCCCTAGAGCCTTTTCTCATCACAGAACAACAGCAACAAAAAGTCTCATGCTTACCAGCATTAAAGCCTCCAGCTAATTGCCTTTGGCTGGGTGAGTTTAAAATAGGAGAGAAAATAGAAGCACTTGTATTCCTGGGTCACCGCAAAGAAAACAACATGCATCTGCTTAGATTTTGGTTATAAGAATCACCTGGAGACTTTGCTTAGCAGCAGCTGCCTACCTGAAGCCCAGCATGGGTGATTCTGAGGCAGGTGGTCATCTTCGAGTTTTACTTAAAGTCAGAACTTTCTGAACTTCACAATGCCTAAGAATCATAGGGAGAGCAGAGGATCCTGTTAAATGCAGATTCCAACTCAGTAGGTCTCAGTGAGTCTACACTCTACCTGGTGTTTCTAACAGGCCCCCAGGTGATGTGGACGATACCTTCCACAGATTACACTTTGAGTAACAAGGTTTAAGGAACAGGGATGGAAGTCCTTGCTACTGAACGTGTGTGACCCAGGTCAGCGGCACAGCAGCACCTGAGAACTCGTTAGAAATACCTGATGTAAATGACGAGTTGATGGGTGCAGCACACCAACATGGCACAAGTATACATATGTAACAAACCTGCACGTTATGCACATGTACCCTACAACTTAAAGTATTATAATAATAAATAAATTAAAAAAAAAAAAAAAAAGAAATGCAGGCTGTCAGGTTCCACCCTAGGCTTACTGCATTGGCGTCTGCATTTTATCAAGATTCTCAGATGATTCTTAAGCATATTCATTTAAGAAGCTGACATAGAACTTCAGGGTAAAATTCACAAAGAAATTGTTTTCTATCAGAAAGGTCAGAGGTGGCAAAAAAAAAAAAAAGGCACATTTTGATTCTCAGATATTTGAAATCCCCGTTAAAGGCAGGTCTATATTAGAAGAGAGAGTAACCTATTGAGAAGCCAGCTTCTTAAATCTCAGCCTCCTCTCTACCAAAGGAAACCATTTAGGACAAAAGTTCAATGTTGTTAGTGCCACAACTCTGAATGTGAGCAGCTATTTCATGCTTTCACCCTTCTCTATTTTCATTACTTCTCATGTCATTAGATCAACCAATTTGGGGACCTTGCTATACCCAAAGGACAGGTGGCTTAAATAGTAAAGATGAATTGATAAAGCCTAGTGTCTTCCATCAGACGGGGAGGTGAAACCATACATTTGAACGTCTGTTGCTCCTTGTGAAGATTCAAGCTTTTTTTTGATATTTAGGGAGACCTGGAAAAGAGAGATGTCGCCACTTCCGTAAACTCTACCTTGCAAAGTGCATGACACATGAATAAGCATAATTTAACTGACGTTAGCTAAGATGTTTCTATCAAGATTCAAATAGTAACTTGCTAAAAAGCAGAGGCTAAAAGAAAATATGCATATAATCCCAGCACTTTGGGAGGCCAACATGGGAGGATCACTTGAGCCCAGGACTTCAAGGCTGGCCTGGACAACACACCAAAACCCTGATCTTAAAAAAAAAAAAAAATTAGCTGGGTGTAGTGGTGTGCCCCTGTGGTCCCAGCTACTTGTGAGGCTGAGGCAAGAGGATCTCTTGAGCCCAGGAGGTCAAGGCTGCAGTGAGCCATATTCACTCCAGCCTAGGCAACACAGAAAGAACCTGCCTCAAAAAAATAATAATAATAATAATAATAAGTAAAGAAGCAAAATGAAAACATGCAGCTATTCAACTATCCAGAAAGGAAGGGGAAACAACCTTAAGTCAAAAAAAAAAAAAAAAAGGAAAAAACTAAAACACAAATCTAATTAGACAATCAGGGTCTCATAGAATCTGGGATCGCAGAAAACGTCTGGAAAGCTATTAGAATCAGTGATATCCTATGTACAAGCTCTTTATTTCCTTCAGTTTTGTTTTCATGAGTTTCTGTCAGGAAGAAACTGCTTGCTACAGACAATTGCTTGCATTTGTTGATCAATAGATGAAGGAAGAGTCAAAGGAGGTAGGGACCATCTAAGGAAGGGATGGTGCTGGCATTGACAAAAGCAGATAGGGCCAATGCAAATACTGTGTTCAATTAGCATTTTTGTGGACCCAGCAATTTCTGAAAACATTTTCGAGTCATAGAATACGCAGGGAGCATCTGGCTCCATTTCTGGAACTACTTCTGACACCACTGCCTCCTTCTCTTTAATGTATCCTACTCAAATTTAGTTTTCTTCCCTTCCTCACGCCAATCTTAATGCCTTCCTGCAGGTCTGTTTCCCTCTTGGCCCGTATTAGACCTCTAAATTTTAGTAATCACAGTAGGCCCTTAGTTGAGCTCCTACTGTGTGCCCTTCACAGGTCTTATTTCATGGTAACAACCACCTACCTGCTGTTTGCAAATGAAGTAACTAAAGCTGAGAGAGATGAAGGAACCTGCCCAAGGTCACAGAGCTGGCAAATAAATATTGTAGGATTCCATCCTATGTCTGTCCAAAATCCATGCATCCTGGCCAAATCCTTCTGTGCCTTGTAGCTTTTTTTTTTTTAAGACGGAGTCTCGCTCTGTCGCCCAGGCTGGAGCGCAGTGGTGAGATCTCCGCTCACTGCAAGCTCCGCCTCCCGGGTTCACGCCATTCTCCTGCCTCAGCTTCCCAAGTAGCCAGGACTACAGGCGCCCGCCACCGCGCCCGGCTAATTTTTTGTGTCTTTAGTAGAGACGGGGTTTCACCGTGATCTCGATCTCCTGACCTCGTGACCCGCCCGCCTCGGCCTCCCAAAGTGCTGGGATTATAGGCGTGAGCCACCGCGCGCGGTCCTTGTAGCTTTTATTCTCTCCCTCAGTCTTATCTTTTCCAGCCACTATGTTCAGTGGTGGCTCTCACTTTCTAGAACCAGCTTAGAGTGTGTATCTCAGGATCTCATTCTCACTTCATCTCTCCACCTGGGACACGCTAAGGCAGGTTTCGTTCCACATTTTATAGCCACGGCCCCAGTGCCTTTTCAAACGGAGTTCTCTTGAAAGTTTCAAATGGATTTTGTGTTTAAAAATATGTACACTAAACCTTAGGAAGTAGAGACAAGCCCTTTGCCAATTTTCTTTTATGTTCAGAAAAAAATCAATTAAAAAGGGGCAAACCCCAAAGGACGGCCACAATCATGTTTATAAAAAACATTTCTGGATTGATCTGTTTTGATAATCACCGAACTTTCTCTCTCTCATCATAGGTTTCTATTGGTAATTTAAATACTTTGGGGCCATTTTGCCAAAACAATGACTGATAGTCTATAGCCATCCTTTGGTACCTGCGGGGAATTAGTTCCAGAACCCCCCGAGGTCACCAAAATCTGCAGATGCTCAAATCCCTTATAGAAAATGGCATAGTATTATGTGCACATAATCTATGTAAATTATACTTTAAATCATCTCTAGATTACTTATAATGCCTAATACAATGTACTGCTGTGTAAATAGTTGTTATACTATGTTGGTTTTTATTTGTACTATTTTTACCGTTACATTGTTTTTATTTTTTTTTCCCAAATATTTTTGATATTCAGTTGGTTGAATCTCAGATGCAGAACCTGCGGATATGGAGGGCCAACTGTATTTATTCAAGCAGGATTCACCTGTTGCAATGCATACATACAAATTCTGCACACAGAGAACCCGGTGGAAGTCTACATCAGAGCAGGTCCATTTAAAGAGAATTCCACTCACATTTAGAAAATGCCCCTTTTATTTAGTTTCTCTGCACAATACTTTTTTTTTTTTTTTTACATTATAAAATCACACAGGAGGAAAGGTTTTTGACAGGAAGCCAGCAGAAGACAACTTGCCAAGCAAAACATTGAGGATCCATTGCCAGCATCTGCAGAGAATTTTTTTCAGAGAAAGAGGAGTCTTCCTGGTGATGAATGAATATTTTGACTTGGCAATTAACACCATTATACCGGAAGACATGCCTGCATGTGTCTCCCTGTAACACCTTGCTTGTTGCCACTAAGTACGAAAGCCTCCTGCCCCACGCCCCAAAATTGTTTTAATGGACTAAAGACCAGGAAATTGAGCCAAATCTCCAAACAAGGCAGGTGTAATAATAATTCCTCCTAAGAAGAGGCCTGTGATCTCTGTTTGTCTTTTAGTGTTGAAAAAAGGGCAGAACTTTTCCTCAAATCTTCAGTATGAAAATATTGGTCTTTAAACTCATCACTACTCATTCATACCTTGAGCATCCTCCTGATATTTTAGGGAATCTTTTTTAACTTTTTAACAATCATCCCTTCTGAAAGAAGAGTTTACTAAGTTCATTGATTCTCTTTTGGCAAGCTTGCAATTCCTACATTTGAACAAATTAAACACAGTAAAGATTTCCTATATCAGCTCAGAGGACATTACCTGAAAATTCAGAAAGCTTTTCTTCTTGAACTTCAGGAAAAAAGAAATGAGAGGATGAAAGGATGAAAGGAAGGCAAGAAGGAAGTAAGAAAGAAAAAAGGAGCAAAGAAGGAAAAAAGGGTTAGGAAGAGACAAAGTAAGAGGAAATAAATCATGTAGAATACATACTTCCAAAACAGAAAGAAAAAAAACAATTCAACTAACATATATTAATCTTTATTCTATAACAGACATAAATAATTTTATGAATTCATATGACCTATACAAAAGACAAAATAAGATATTGCACTAAATTTAGATATGGGATATTTGAATTTAATATTAGCTAAACAGATAAATATATACAATTTAAAGAGTTAAGGCAAAACCAGATGATACTCCAAATACAACAGAAGGTTTGAAAAATAGATATAATTAGAAACAACAGCATCCCACCACCAGTTAATAAAGTGGTCATGTCTAAGGAAAAAAAAACCTTAGGTTTTTAATAAAGTGGTTATTATCAATCATTTTAATTAAAGTTGAGCAATAAAGTATAAGATTTCCCTCGGAGGGGAGCTGTTTTGCCGAGGCTCGGGGATTGAGCACTTAGATTTCGGGTAAGCAACTTTTTCCTTGTCAGATTTATGATCTATTCTTCCTCTTAGAAAATATAATTTGGAAAATATGACTCTTTCACATATACAATTAAAATACAACTATGAAGCATTCTTTTTTTTTTTGAGATAAGTCATGTTGATGATATCATTGTCAAGGTAAATTTGTGGGCAAGCTATTCATTACCTTATTTTAAGAGAACACATAATGCCAGTTACTGAAAAAAAAATTCCCAGTTTTTTACAAGAACCAAACAAACTAATTCCAAAGGAATAAAAACAAATATAATCAATACACAGTATACAGTTCTTTGGCAGTATCACACTAACCGTTGATTGAAGTCAGAACTTTAGAGTTTTCTAATGCTTAGACCCAGTTGCCAGTCTTTTAAAACTAAACAAATAAAATTCCACATCTGTAACGAATTCAGTAATCCCGGGAAATGAAATTCAGAATAAATCTTGCAGACAGCTTTTGACTGTTACATTTAAGCATAGGTATTATCTGCTTAGAGTCCCAATCCAAATATACTGAAACAGACACACACAAATAATCTGTGAAATTTTGTATTGGTTCAGACAGGCCCAGAATCCTTAGAATCCGTATCCACCCATGAGAAACCAATAAAAGACATCAATCCAATGATGAAAAAATGATCTTCCAGTAACTCAGGAGTGGGTCATCCCTTACCTGGATAAACACCACGGAGAAATTGAATCCTATAGGGGGAACACCAGAAAGCCAGAAAATGTGGAGTACTGCCAGCCTCCAACCAAATTACCTTTCTCCAGTTTTAGGTAAACCTTATCCTCTTTATCTAAGTAGAGTAGGACACCATTAGTGGCAGCTTCACGAGTAACATCTTTGTCCCCCGCAAAGGCAGATATTACTGGTTTTCCATTTAACATCAAGTTAACCTAGAAGAAGAAAAATAACAATAATTGAAAAGTTATCTTTAAAGTCAAAACATCTACTGGGGAGAAGAAATAATGTCTAAGATGACAGTCCCAGTAAAATACCTGATGTTCAGGAAATATATTCCCTTCCTTTCAAATTAGCCTATTGTGGGGGCCATACTTTGCATGTCTGCTGAACTGATTTAAAATCTTTTTTTTTTTCTCATTGGAATTTCCTTAAATTCCTACAAAAGAATAACATCTATGGAGAGCAACCTAGTGAAAACTAGCTTCCCTTCAGCACATAAATTAAGCTTACTGCTTTACTTACCTCTTCCACCCAACAAAAATCTTTTGGAAATAAAGCAGGCTTGTGGCTTCCCAGTACATTTGTAAAAGAGTCCTTGTGCCCACTGACCTAAGAAACCCAGATACAACCCAATCCTACCAACATCCTTGCAAGTTTTTGTGCAGCTGTAACATGCATACTACTGAAAATCATTTGAAATAATGAAGTGTGTGTATACGTGTGTCTGTGTGTGTTGATTTCTTTTTCTGTTTTCCCTGATAGGAAACAAGCATTAAAAATAATCATCAGGCCAGGCATAGTGACTCATGCTTGTAATTACAACACTTTGGGAGACCAAGGCAGGAGGATCACTTGAAGCTAGGAGTTCAAGACCAGTCTGGGCAACATAGCAGGACCCCATCTCTAAAACAAACAAAACAACAAATTTAGAAATTAGCCTGGTTGGTCACATGCACCTGTAGTCCTAGCTTCTCAAAAGGCTGAGGCAGGAGGATCGCTTGAACTCAGGGGTTTGAGGTTGCAGTGAACAATGGTTGTGCCACTGCATTCCAGCCTGGGTGAAATAATGAGACCCTATCTCAGAGGAAAACCAAAAAATAAAAAATAATAATCACCACTATCACTAGAGATTTTAGTGATAATTAGAATCAACTCAAAACTGTATTAACTATTTTCTATTCTACAATTTTGATTACACTGTGTCAAGCATTGCATACATTTCTAAATACTGGAGGTTGGGAAAAGCTTTTCCATGGAAGAAAGTTTATTTTCTAGATTTTTTTTAGGTTAGAAGTCATATGGAATAACTTAAATCTGAGGCTGATCCATTCATCCATTTACTAGGACATGTAAAAGTATTAATAGATAAGTGAGTAATCTATCATTCACATTGACATAATGTATAATGTAAATACTGAGCATAAGATAAAAGGTTATCCTAGAATTCCATACACATGTATTTGTGTCATTTGGTATTAGCATATTGGAATATTGTTGGAACTAGCTCCACTGTTGCTTTTGAGTGTAAGGTCAAGCCCATTGTCTTAGAAAGCAGAATACAAAATATATTTTTAACTGTGGAACTGCAATTGATAAGAATTCACTAGCATCAGAGTAACTGAGGATAAACTCAAGCATATGCACAGAACACCCTTTCTTAAAAAAGTATTTTGAATAGTTGCTCCTTCATAGACTTATTCTTACTCATTAGCTGTATCTCATAATTTTAAAAAATAGCAAATGTTTTATTTATTTAGTATGTACTTGAAAAGCTCTATTCGTCTTACAAGTTTTTTTTTCTTACAAATTCAAATAATTTTTGTACATGCATTAAATGAAAGCATGATCTTACAAAGAGATTTGTGTCACTGAATTTTTACTAAACCATGGATTTTTTAAAAATGTTTGATTGTTATTAAGGTAATAACTTCAATTGTTTATTTTTCTATATGCTTTTTGTCACATCTTAATGGATGTTACAAAAAAATTAGAAATTAAGGTTTTAAAATAAATGATAAAGATGGCTGTTTATGTCTATTGTGGAAAGACAACTTTGGATAAATACTTAAATACATAACCCACTAAAGATAAGCACAGTTGGTTGGGAGTATGGATGGAAGGGGTCAGAACACACACCTGGATAGTTTGGCTCTGGTAGACTTTAATCACGTGAAAACTGAAACTGTAAATTCCTTTTCTTGGTGCTACAAAGACAGACTCCAACGTGAAAAAATTACCCACATTCACCAGGATCTACAAATAAGAATAATAAATAACAATAAGTTATTATATTTTCTTCTGTGACTAAAATGAATTTTCTTCCTCTCACTCTCTTCCTCTCCTCTTCCTTCTTTCCCTCCTTCCTTCATTCCTTCCTTCCTCTTTCTTTCCTTTTTTTCTTTTGTTCATTCATTCATTCTCAGCAACTAGCTTAAGAAATCATAGAAAATAAAACATCTAGTTCTATTTCTTTCCTCTTAACTGATTTGGAAAATTGACTTGAATATTGGAAGGTTCTTCTGTCTTTTAAATGATATAAGAATAAATAAAGTAACTGCTTTGTATTCATGTCTCAATTTCCAGCAAGGCCCAATGGCTCTGGAAACATCGAGCTAACATTTGAGGGCTTATAAATATTAGCTTTACCTTGAGAAATGGATAAAAGGCATCTGCCATGTGTTTACATTCCCACCTTCTACAAGCCTTTGCAATGTCCAGAGGTGACGTTTCCAAGCCAGCCAATCAGCATCTGTGAGCTCTCCGCAGCATCCCTGGACACACCTCAGAGGCATGGGTACCCCTCCACCATGTGCCATAATCCTTGACACTGAATAGCTGGTACAAAAAGTGATCTGAATGCCTGGCCCTTCTCTGAGCTGCCCCTCTCCTAAGATCTGTGGCCATTTTTTTTTCATTCCTATGCAAGCTAGGCCTTAATTACAACAATGTGGCAATGAGTCAGCCCTTGGGGGCTGCCAAAGAGGAGAGCATAGAGAAGGATAAACTATGAAATAGGTGGCTTTCCCTGTTCCTGCCAGGGCTGTCCATTAACCTCCTCTCAATCATCTGCTCTTTATTTGAAGTTCAAGGTTCAAAAGTGAAAATAGAAACTGTTTCCCAAGAAAGCAACAATGCATTTTGTGTTCCAAAATATTCAGCCTAGTTCTATTGGTTATAAAATTAACTCTAAATTTTAATAAGTGATCTCTTAAGCTAAATTCGCAATGTCACATGGGTAAATCTCTTTCTATGAGAAAGAGGGATTGGAATAGAGGATGGTTGTTAAAATAACTAGGGTTTCTTCCATTTCTCTCCAAGAAATACGCCTGTAAGTGGCATTCGGAAATAATAAGATGTCCCTAAAAAGATATACTTCTCATATATCAATGGCAATCTGCTACTATCTCCTTCAAACACTGCATTCTTGCCAATATTAACACACTTGCAAGCCTCTTGCATAATTCCCTAAAAATGTCCTATTACCTCTGGGCAACATACCAGAATGTAGCGACAGTCAAGCAGATGTATCAGCGTCAACACCTAACTTAAAATACATGTACGTGTGTAATTTCATTCTGAGATTTTGCCTTCTTCCAACTAAGCATCAGATTTTTTTGTGACCTGATGATAGATGGTCTTTCAACAAGTCACCAGCTGTGCAATAATCCCCAACAGAGGCTTTGCAAGGAAATTTTTTTCAAGCACAATTAAAATAATTTGAGGTGCTTAGTGGTAACTTCCTGATTCAGATACAAGTAGCATAATTCACTAGCAATAATGAAAAATAGCTAATGAGTGTTGGCTACCTGTAAAACTGGATGTTGACTCTATATTTGTAATTGCAGCATCCAGGTACATCAAGATTTATAACTAAATGTGTCTTCTTGTCTCTAAGATGCAGGGCTCGCTGAACAGAAGAACAAACCCTTTTCCTCTTCTAACTGATGGAAAGGTCATTGAAAAGAACACCCTGTATAGAGGATAGTGCAATGCCCATAGTATTCCAACATTTAATTAAAGCGTTGAAATACAAACTAGAGGTGGTGCTAGACTTTATTTCCATCAAGATAGAAAATACTGTGCCGAAACCCCAAATGGGGCTACTTAATTCTTTAAAAAATATGGCTATCAAATACTAAGTCCCTAGAGAGGCATTCTCTGTCTTTGGCCAGCTGGAGAGTGCATTAGTTAGGAAAAATTAAGCAAGGAACACAGATGTCACCTCGTGCTTTCCCTGGCACATCCTGCAGCACCACTTAACCTGTGCCCCCTGCACATTGTAGCTTTGCATACAATTGCGAACTGTGAATTTGGAATTTAAAAAGACTCTAGATACTGTTGGGGCTGAAGTTAAAACTCCCAGGACAGTTTTTTTCCTTAAGACCCCTTGCTAAATGTAAGCTGATATCCTGGGGTTTTTCATCATGCCAAACACGGAGCACCAGGTCGCTAAACAGCAGCTACAGCTTCCGTCAGTTCTTCCCCTACTCTCATCAACCTCAAAGTCCGTCTTTCCCCAGTTATTTGCAATTCTCTGAAAGGACAGGAGCCCAGGAAGCGAGAACCGGCTCCCAAGGGCTTTCCTACGGGAGCTCAACACAGTTGCCAAATTCCTTTTCCTTCCCTCCTCCGCAACTTTTCTCTAAGTACCAGAGAAGGGCTTGCTGCCTACTCCGAGGCAGCGACAGTGGCAGCGGCGCCTGGCACGCGAACAGTGGAACCTGCAAGCGAGACCTGACCCCCAGCCCTGCCCTCCCGGCCTCCGCGGCCACCAGCCCGATCTCTGCAGAGTGTGGAAGCCCGGGGCTCTCTTTGGAGAGAAGCTTCTCTACCTGGGAGAAACAAATCAAACATTTATCCTGTCCCGCAAAGGTACCCAGGGAGCAGCCTCAGCGGCACCCGTAGAGGAGTCTGAGCCAGGGGACCAAGATCTAGTCAAGAGATCACGACGTCCAGGGACCAGGTGCCCTTCGGCTCCCGCCGACCTGTTGCTCGCAACTTGCCCTGAGCTCTCGCTGCCCGGCTCTGGGCTCCCAAGCCTCTCCCCTCGGGTCGGAGCAGCCTCTTTTAGGGGCCCGGAAGGAATAGGAGCCGGGGCTGGTGAGAGGGGTAGGAAGAGAGACAGTACAAGTTTCAGACCCAGGCATATTTGGGAAGGCGAGTGCTTTATATGATTCCCCATTTCCCAACCGGTCCAGCTTAGCCTGGGCAGGCAGCCTCGGGCTGAGGTGCCCGGAGACCGCCCGCCCCCTAGGTGCTCGCGTCCCCCCGGGTCTGACCTGATCGAAGTAAATGATGCGCGTCTTGTTGCTCATCTCGGATGGCTCGTGGTTGGTGCTCCGCACCGCTGAGAAGGCGACCTTGGAGTTGGCCGCCCGGACCGATATCCCCAGCGGGGAGGAAGAGGAGCCTTTGGAGTCCGTGGCCGGGTTCGAGTCGCACACCACCAGACACTTGCCTTCCAGCACGATGGGCTCCGTGTCGTTCTGTGCCCAGACGGGCAGCCCCGGCAGCGTGAGGACCAGCAGCACGGCCGGCACCGCGGACAGCGCCCGGCGCCGGGAGCCCATGGTGAGCCGTGTGGGCAGCCGCAGCCGGCTGGCGCTGGTGCTCGCCCGCGTCGCCTCCTACCCCGGGATCCCGGTGCTCGGGAAGACGCTAGCGGCTAGGTCGACAGCGCTGCAGGAGCGACGGCGCCTGCGGCGGCGCGCACACTTCCACCAATTCTGTGGCTTGAAGTCAAAGTCTCCCCTGGAGCTCTGTCGCTGGCTCTGTTACCTTTGTCCTTTAAGGAGCTCATGCAGAACCCCTTACCCTACCCTCCTCCACCCAAGAATCAGCCCTGCCTGGGGCCCCTGCACCCGATCTTGTTCCTAGACATCTAAAAGTCATCAAACCCTCACATTCACACCTCAAAGCAAAAAAATAATAATAAATTCTCACCCCAAACTCAAGCACCACCAGGTAAACCACGGAGCAGGAACAAAAAGAGAGGACTCAAAGAGAAGCCACAAGGGTGGCGGTTGCCCAGCGGCGCGGGTGCCAGTCCTGTCTGGCTTGCGGCAGGGACGAGTTACAGAGGCAGAAGGTGTTTCCCAGGCTGAGAAGAACGCGAGGCTGTGTTCATGGCCAGGACGCCAGCGACTCCCACTTTCGCTTGGTCAAAAATTCCCCCAAACCTGGTGTCACCCAGAGGTAGGGAGGGAGGCAGCGGCTAGCCAAGTCTCTCGCACAGAAAGCGCAGATTCACAGGATCAGGTCCAGGGCGCCGGGCGCAGCGTGCAGGGCGGCTGGTCCGGCGGGGTCCTCTCCTGCCTGGCCTCCCGCCCCGAGTCCCTGCGCACAACTTTCTCGTTCCTCGCGCGCAGCTCGGAGAGCGCGAAGCGGGCACACGCGCTCTATTTATAGGAGCGCAGCGTCCGGCTGGGGTTGGCTTATCGCGCAACCCGCGGGCTCCGGGAAAAGGGGGAGAAGGTGTCTGGTGACCCCATCTGAGCAGCTCTCTCCTGACGTTTAACGCACCCCAGAGCAAGCGGGGTGCCCAGCACTGCTGATTGGCAAGGTTCGAGGCCACTCAGCCCCTGAGAGCGCGTGGCGTAAAGGGTGTGTGCCCAGAGAGGAGCCCACGACCCTGCGAGGGCACCAGCTCGGCGCCCGCTCTCTCCTGCTCGATCTGGATCCGCGGAGGGGAGGGCGGGTCCCCTCGCCCCTCCCTATCGCGGGACTCTGCCGCCGAGTGCCCTCCGAGCGGAGCGCGGCGCTGCCAGGCAGGGTCGCGAAGATGGATGAGCCGCCGCGGATCCGCGCTGCGCGCTGCCCCAAACCTGGGGAACGGCGGGCGTCCCGACCGCGCCTGGCCGGGAGCCCGCCCCACACAGCCCTGGGGCCTGGCGAGCTCAGGGAAGCCTCGGGGCGGACTAGAGTCGGTGGGGGCGGCTGGGAGGAGGTGCCTGATTCCTTCCTTCCGCTCCGGGAAGATGAGCCTCAGAAGCCGCAGGGGCGCGCCTTCCCCCAACACCGCGAATCCTCCCCAGGCATGGCCAAAAAAAGAGTGAGAGAGGGAGTTAACTCAGCAAGAATAAGTCCTCCGAAACCGTGCCAACAACAATTTAAAAAATAATAAAATAAAGCCAAACCCACTTCTAAGAATACAGCGTTTTTCTCCCCTTTGCATGCGCCTCCCGCCCCCTGTGCCACTCCACTGCCATCTTGGCCTCTGATTTGCAAGAGTTCCCTTCCCCTTCCGCAGCTACCACGGGGAAGGTTTGTCTCTGTCCGGACCCGGCTGCGTGAACTTGGCCCAGTCACTAACCCTCTCTGAGAGGGCTGCGCGGCGTTAACTAAGGTCCTCCCTACCCTACCCCGCCAGCTTTCCACTTCTGTGATGCTTTGGGGTCATGGCGCCCCTTCTTCAATTTCTTCTAGACTTCCAGCTGCCAGAGGGCAGACACCGTATGGTGTCTTTAATCAAAACAGTATCCCCTCCAGGCATTCGGAGCTCCTAAAATTGCATTGGCTAGTTATGAATGGATGGGATGTTTGTTGAGGGAGGTCCTTGGGATGGACGACTCCCATTCCTTCCTGAGTGAAGGATGTTCTCATGAGCGTGGCATTCCAGCCCTCCACAACATAAGGTGAACCTCGTCTCCAGCCTTTTTGCCTTCCTTCAGAAGGGCCTGGCATTGAGGTATAAGCACTAGCTCCAACTGTTAAAACTGAAGACACTACGAGGAATACCCTGACCCTCACCTCCCTATAATCTCTCAACTGAAGTGTTAATACTTGGTGCCACACGGGCCTTCAGATTCTGCTCCAGTGGGGCCAGTATCAGGTGTTTTGACTTTATGATTTTATTTGGGGTGGGGGGTGGTCTCGCTATATTGCCCAGGCTGGATTCAAAATTATTGGGCTCAAGCGATTCTACTACCTCAGCCTCCCCAGTAGCTGAGACTACAGGCCAGTATCAGTTCTGACTGGCAGGTGCTAGTGCCATGCTATTTGTTAAAACGTTGAATGTTGCCAATCTAAGCTACAACCAAACAAGGTGAACTAGTGCCTTCTAAAGATGGTCACCATTTACCCAGCTCTGATGCCCCACCCTAAGCCCAGCACAATCTTCACCTGATCCCACTCTGCACTTTGTAACTCTCTTCTAGCTTTCAGGGATGTCTGCCTGGGTAACAGCGCAATTTCTTCTCATTTGATGCAGTCTTTTGAGGGCGGGTGCTGAGTTTAATCTAGTTCCTTTTATTTCCTGTAGGGGTAAGCACCCCGCCTTCCTTGTCTGGGACAGTTGTTGAATAACTAGAACTTTGGTTGTTCAATTTCAGGCTGGGAGAAGTTTGACAAAAAAAGAAAAAAAAGAAGACTAAAAGACTCTGTTGAATTGTTAAATAGAAAATAAGCTATCTTCCTCACCAATTCCGATATATTCTGTCTACATCCTTTTCTTATCCGGGCACTTCCTGCCAGGAAGAACTGAGATTTGAAGAAACTTGTTCCTTCTCTCACCAAAAATATTCATTTTTAGTCCCAAAATCTGCAGAGTGACCATAGTAAAGACTCAATAACTGATTGAGAAATGACTGAATGCTTCCTGATAGAAGGTAATTATCATTCATATTATAGTATAAACTGCTTTAAATGAGTCTCTCTCAGTAAAATTTAAATTCAAAGCCTCCTCAGTAATTGGGGATAAGGGTCTTGGTTCCTTGCTAAAGGATGTTCTGCTATTCAAAGTGTTCTGAAGATGAGGAACACAGCGTTCTCTGTGGGCCCCTGCTAAGAGAAGTTATCTGATGTTCAGAGGGTCCTGACTCTTATTCCCACAACAGTTGATTAAACACGGATAGCCCCTGGGTTCTAGGACCGTCAATGCATTTGATACCAGAAGTCCAAGACTTGTATGGCCCAACTTGGCCAGATGACTTGGGGCTGCCAGATTTTCTCTCTACAATCTTAATGAGACATCGAGATAGTTTCCAGTAAGCACTACATGTTGCAGAGAAAAGGTCTGTAGTCTCCCAAACTGATGTGGTCATGTAGGAGTCACCCGGAAGCTGAAGCAGAAGAGGTACTTGAATAAACCAGAGGACTGGCCACACTTGTAGAAAGAAGCCAATTCTGGAGCATGAGCACTTCTGAGAAGTAGAGGGAGTGAATAGTGAATTGCCATTTCTGAACTCTTACTTACAAGAGTTCCAGAAACATTTTCTCCTAACCTTGGGTTCCTTGGTATCCTCCTATGTCTTTGAAATAAAAACTCAATTCCCTTGAGCTAGTTTTAGTAACATGCTGCTCCCTGTCGTCCAGAATCCTCGTTAGAACATTGTCCCAGAAACCATACCACAAAAGGCTTACTAAAAGACTAACAAATCCAATCTCCTCCTGTAGGAAATTCTTTTCCAACATTTTGGGAAAGGAGGCATCACCTGCTCCTCACCCCCTACTCCAGCCCCAGCATCCCCAGGAGAAAAGAAACAAGACCAAGTTTAAGTTTCTCTCCAACAGCATAGATCTGTTTCTTTTTTCTTTTTCTTTTTCTCATATTTTTCCAGTTGAAAATATGCTATTAGAAGACCTAGCTGTGACCCAAATATTTTCCCTTTCTGAGATTCCCATATTGTATTTGATGCCTAGGATTTATTTTTTTTTTTTTTTTGCTAGACCTTTAGAAATGAGGCAGAAATGCATTTCAGTTCTCTGCAGCTGGGCTTAACTTTAAAGTAAATTAGAATCTAAACTGTCCTTGCATAGGAAAGCAATACTTCTGAGGTCAGTAAATTCAATGACTGCTTGTCCAGTCATCCTTTAGCGAAACCAAGTTTTAAGCAAGCCCAAGACAGTAAGGATCTATGAGCTATTTTCTGATTGTGAAGAAAATGCTTCTAAGAAGGCAAAGACAGACACACACAAGGTATTCAGCTCTAAGGGCCTCACTGTGGTTGAATGAAAGCAGAATCCATGCATCATGTAGCAGAGACAGCCGCAGGTCAATCGTGCAGAAGATGGAAAATCGAGAGAGAGAGAGAGCGCAGTGAGGCTTGCATCATACCCAGACAAAGGTCCACTGAGTTGCTTAATTACCCTTTGCTCTTTATAATGATAGTTATCAGCCCAAGCAAATGATCTTTTTTGAGGGAGAGTAAGTAGCTTAAGAAGAAAAAGTCTCCATGAACAACCAATATGTGAGAACTTACATAGTCTGGAAAGTTCCAGAGTCATGTTGAGTAAATCTTCATAGCTCCTTCTGGAGACAGCCAAATGACAGACTTGTTTTGTATGAGGATGGTATTGTGGGAAAAAATAGACAGATGCTGTAAAAAACACTTTTCAATTGGTTTTAGAATTTGAAAATTGTTTGGGACAGTTTCTCTAGACAGTTTACTCCACTCACCCCATTGGCAAATAAGGTACGTGTCTAAGACATTCTTGAGCAGTGAGACTTCTTGGTCGTGGCTGCAGACAGATTTTGATGCCCCTTTTTGGCTTCGCATGATACCCTGAGCATGTTCTAGTCATTATATTTATTATAATGATTTTAGTCGATTTATTTGTTGTGTTTTCCCTGGACTAGTAACTCTTTGGGAGCACAGAATTTAGCAGAGAGTAGGTATGCATAAATAAAGTTTACTGAATAAAGTAACATCATTGCTTTTATTTCTCATAAGGGAAACAGTATAACATTTAATCACTATGATCTAAGTATGATAGGAAAAGTAAAATTATTTCAGAAATGTTGGGGGCTTAAAACGTCAAGTCTACTTTAGTTACTAAGAATGGAAGCCCAGTGAGAAAAGGCTTTGTGGAAACGGCCATATCTTGAAATGTGTTGAGTTGAACCTTGAGACTGTAGTAAAACCTTAGAGAGAACCTAAAAAATTCCCTCTCTCTCTCTCTCTCTTTCCCCGGCCCCCATCTCTCTGTGTGTGTGTGTGTGTGTGTGTGTGTGTGTGTGTGTGTGTGTGTGTCCCTCTCTCTCTTTCCCTCTCCTGGGCACATCTTCATTATTCTTTGGCTCACTGTAATCTACCATTCTCTGAGGCCCACATGAGGGAAAATAGCAGCTGATACTTCCAGATTTCACACATAACAAAGCCATCCACCCAGAGATGCCCCCAAATCCCGGAGAAGAGATGCACTGCAGCCATCTGGGTTCAGATGCCCAATCCCAAACCAATGAACTTGGCTGTAGAAGCAGAATTATGCTGCACACACGAATGATTTCCCAGCAATGAGGTGGGTAGAAAATTGCGGTGGGGCATGGGAAAAGGAAAAATCCTAGAAAGGTAGTATAAG